GACACGCAAGACAAGAGGATCTTTCTTTAAAAGTTCACGGAAGAGGAACAAGTGTAAGCTCAGAAAAAGTACACGGTTCAAACTAAATAGAAGATAACTCAAAGAAATGAAAATAAGCTGACAAAGCCATGAAACACTACAGGGATGAAAAGCCACTTTAGGAACAAAAAACACAAAATAAGCACTTGACTGAAAACATAAAGTATGTTCAATGGCAAAGTACATTAAGGGAAGCAAAGGACGAAGAACACAGACTAGAAAGTCGATGAGAAGCAGAGACATTTCCACACCACCAAGGAAGGAGATGGAACAAAAGGTGCACGTCATATAAAAATTTAAACCTCTTCATGCTAAAAACGGACTCTACTTCTTAGAGTTCACAGATAAAACCGAAGGATTGATCAAATCATAAGGATTTATGAAAATCATAAAACATAAGTCATAAGAAATAGCCACCGAAGTTACTGTTGTTACAGTTCTTACACATCCGGAACAAGAACAACAAAAGAAGTCTACAATGGAAAGATGAGACTCCTTCAGCCTCCAAATGACAGGTGACAGTGAAACCATGTTCCCACATTTCTGAGGGAAATGTTAATACTAAATAACTTTCATAGCAAAAATGAAGAATCAAAGGGTAGTGTTAATTACCTTAATTTTAAGAAAGGGGGAAAGGGAATTTAAAATGTCCATATTTTCCCCATCTTCCATAACACAAACTTAAAAGATATTTAATAAAAGATGTTATTTAAATTCAAATTCAGTCATGTCCTCAGGATTGCACCCCGGGCACGTTACCCACTGAATGCTCCCCACAGCCACTGATCTTACATCAGAGGTGAGGAGGTGATGGCCTTTGTGTGCTTTAATGTTTGCTTAACGATCAAAGCATCATCTTCTCAGTCATCCCACATCAACAATTCTGTAATCTTTTCAACTCTGTATATCTAATTTTGTTCTTATTTACCTGATATAGGAGTACCCAAAGTTGAAGTAACCTAATTCAGGATATTTTAATAAATATTATAATGCGCCCTCTAGTGTGTATCATTCTTAAACCATTGATTTGGCTCAACAAAAAGAAGACCTATACCAAAATTTACATGACTGGAAACAGTAGTGATATACAACATGGAGCGGGATAGCTAGCGAAGTGTATTAACACCGCTGAAATGACCAACTGTGAAAAACAGAGCTTCGTACCCTGCGCACTACAGAACCTTTGAATGTAATTCAAATCCTGAAAATGTTTGACACAGGGAGATAAAATCATACAATGTCATGAATCTCTGACTCATGAAACAAAGAGTGTCATGAATTAAAGCAGTTCATTCCTTTAGAGCTTCAGGTTTAAATCTTTTTCATGAGTGTCCCTTTTGCTTTTGATTGCAAAGTAACTTTCTTTTATTTTCATTCGCTCATTCCTTTGTTCCTTTGTTCCTTCCTTCCTTCCTTCCTTCTTTCCTTCCTTTCTTTTCTTCTTTTTTTTTTTCTTTTAAAGACAAGGCCTTATGTCTCCCAGGCTGGCCTGAAATGCACTAAAGTAGTAGAGGATGATCTTAAATTTCTGATCTTCCTGTCTCCACCTCCTAAGTGCTGGGATTACAGGTATGTGACACTGTGTCAGATATCATGAGGTCCTGGGGATGGACCTCAGGTCTTTGCACGTGCTATGTAAGCACGCTATCAACTGAGCTGTACCTCTAGTCCATAAAATAATATTTCAAATAGGTAGGCCACGAATTACTTGTTCACTTTGCAGAAAATTAAAATCCATAAAAGAGGAATTATAAGTCCCAGGTCACATGAGATAACAATAGAGCCAAGAGTTGCCCTTTTCTGCTTTCATGTTCATAGCCCAGGTGGCTGACCTGAAGACACTTAGCGCAGCTGAGGCTCAAGGTACAGATTCAATCTCATCAACTGTGTCTTCCTGAACACCTAGATCTGCTGAGTTCAAGTGTACTGAAAGTTGGATTCCACAGTCAACCTTCATGCTGTGTGAAGAGTAAGACTTGGGACCTCCTGGAAAGGAAGCTTAATCACACCGCACATATCCATCACTGTGAAACAACTCTTTCTTGGATGGACCAAAAGCCGCTTCAGAAAGACAGGTATTTGTCCTCTCTGTATCCAAATGCAAAAGGTACAAGTCACCCTAGTGCTGTTGTTGGGTAGTTTAAACAGCCATCTAATGTGTATCATTCTCGAACCATTGATTTGGCAGTTTATTCAAACCACTGATTTGACAGTTTAAACACCACATGAAGCCATTTTAACTTCCACTGTGATAGGCTGGTCTAATCTTGTATGCACGTTATTGTTTGAACATTTTCTTTAAGCCTACTGCTGAGAAGCACCTCGCTACGTGAAGTAGCCAGGAAGTAAAAGCAAGGAGCCAAGTCCACAGAAGCCACCGTGTTCACTGGGAGAATAACTGCGGATTGACATTAAAACAAAGACCTGTTCTACACATCAGGTCTTGTGATGACATTTTTGGGCAAGACACAACGGATAACAGGAGTCTTTTGAGAACTGATTCAATGTCTTCTAATGACCCATGGTAGAGAACAAATTTAAGTGCAGTGAAACTGAGTAAAGAAAAGCATTTAATGCAAATGAACATTTTTCACATGAAAGCATATGAAGACCAGTCCCGGAAGTAAGACTCTAGGGCACAGCAAAACTTGTACAAACTCCAGGCAGGCTATTTGCACCTAGAACCTAACAGAAAAGCATAACACAAGATTCTGTGGCTCTTGGCAAGACTTTATCACCACTGGCAAGCTGGAACTGTACGAAACTACTTGAAAAGCCATAGCCAAATCCCTTTTCAATTATGCAGGCTGTGGTCACACGGCTCTGACCAATACTTTGAAAAGTTTGTCTTAATATTGACCCTGTCAATATATTTAAAGTACAAAAACATAAAATTTCAAACTGTGATTTTTCTCCCTAAATTGAATGATGTTAAAACAACAGCAGCTTCAACAAGACTTTAAAAACAAGCATCAATGTATTCTCTAGCCTCAGGGAGCTATGACTAAAACTATGTATGAAAATTATTTTTAAAAACATAGAAAAAATGTAGCTTGGGATGCTTTTGAACTCATGATCCTCCTGCCTCCATGCCCCTAGTGCTAAGATTACAGGTGTGCATCACCATGTCCAGCTTATGGGGTACTGAGGATCAAACCCAGAGTCTTGTAGATGGTAAGTTAACATTCGACCAACTCAGCCTTTATGCCGAATGAGAAAAACACACAATCATTAAATGAAATACTCACTCCTCCTTCCCCCACAGTCACTTAGGAACTGGTAAGTGATGATCAGTGAGGTGTGGCCATTTGGAAAGACGTAGCATAGCATATTATAGTCAATCATGCTTCAGCTGACCCTCAGGGGTTCAGGAATGGCTCTGCCGACATCTTCAGTTGTCATCACAAAATCAACTATAGCACACAACACTGCCAAAACTTAGAAATTCACATAGCTAAGTCTGATCCACTCAAGTATGTAAAAAAATAATGGTTATTGAATGAAAGGTGAAGCAACAAAATCTAAACTTATTGGGTCTGTCCCGTCGCCTCAAGGAATAATTTTCAACTGTAGCTAGCTTATCACCAGCTCCTGAAAGCCAACAGTTAAATTTTAAGGGATCTTATAAGCGAGCTGGTAAACCACTAAGGCCAACCACCATGGAAGTGTTTACACCATCAGAAGTGGCAAATAACATAGTTGAGGCCATTCCCCTTCCACTTTCACAGAAAGCCAGTTTACGAGTACATCACCAATATCCACACAGGATATACGTGGGGACTATTAGCCGTCACCAAGCACAAGCACCCCCACAGGCAATAGTGAAGACACGAAGAAGAATATTTTAAGTTTCCCATAAACTTCCTGGCTACCATCTCTGAATCCTTAATCCTTTCTGAAACCTTTGCAGACACAAATAGTAAAAAGGAAAAAATTTAGCATATAGGTGGAAGAAATCCAACTGAAAATGGAATATATAATGTGGAAAATCATTTATAAGTAGCTGTGAGAATGGGCTGACATAGAAAGATGTGCCATGGCATAAATTTATGTGAAAATAGTGACTATGATGGAAAAAAGAAAACATGAAATTGTGTATGTTGTGTAGCCATTATGAAGGTACAAACTTATAATTTAACATACTTTCATTTCTTTAGTATTACTATGATTTTTATAACTAGTAAGAAGTACCAGAAAGGCTCACATAACTACCACAAATAAAGTAGTCCCCAACAGTTGACCACCATGAAATTCACTCATTTTGTGTTGCTTCTCTAATTAGGCTGCATCAGTTTTTGGGAAAGCAAAGTTAAAGCCATTTCTCCGGGGAAGGAAGACACTGCAGAGAAGATGACAGCCACGTGCCACATAGCAGTGGTTGAGATGATCTGTAAGTAGCTGCTCTGTAGTAAGCACAGTCTGGGTGGTTTTGGTCTCAAAGTCATTATCAATTTATTTTTCATTTTTGTTATTCATCTGAAAGTTGATTCTTAAAATGCTAGTTAATGTATTGAAGATGTAGTTTGATTGGCATTGTGCTTGCCTAGCATGTACAAAGCCATGTTCAGTCTGCAGCAGCACATAAATCAGATATGATGGAGCACACCTGTGACCTCAGCACTGGAGAAGTCATGGCAAGAAATCAGTAATTCAAGGTCATCCTCAGCTACATATTGAATCTGAGGCCAGCCTGAGATACATGAAACACTATCAAAACAAGCAAACAGAAAACAGCTTATGTTCTGGAAAATAATAATGTTACATTTGCACAAAGGGAAGGGAAATTTTACAAATATCTTTATATTTAAAGAGAAAGAAAAATTATACTTTGCAGATAGATGAATGTGTAGATATATCTCTCTGTATCTCATTCCATCAAAAAAAAAATGCTCAAATAACTGCCCAGAATACACTCAACATAGTCACATTTTCAATGCAGTTTCTGAGTTTTAGTATCCAACCTTTATTGTTTTCCTCTTCATATGGATATTTATTCATCCATTTGTTTCTAGAGTCACATTGATCCTGCAAGAAAACAAACCAGAAGGTATTGTGAGAACAAGCTGTGCACAATAATATTCCTTTTTCTTTGGGGGGAGGGAACCCACATTAATCATATATTTAAATTCTTGATTACTGGAATGACATAATGAAACCCCCAAATTTGGTGAATGTGTTTCATCCAGTTGTTTGTTCTGTGCTTGTTCTCTAACAGTCCCAAGAAGGAGAACAGGAAGGAATGAGGGAACAGAGAAAGGAGCACCAGCTTGGCGCTTGTTAATACCTTAGGCAAAAGACAGTAAGTCCTAGATGATGATGAATAAAAAGGATGCAGGAGAGGAAAAGAAGGCTGATGGGAAAATGGCAAAGCTGGTTTAGGTGTGAATTTGCAGTATGTAAAGTGTTCACAGATACTCAAAAGGCAGCATTTGAATGCATCATTCCTTGGTAACAGAAATGTTAAGAAATGCTATTTCCTTGAGGAAATTATCATTTTCCCCTTTATAAGAGATGCAAATGTGCAGAATAATTGATATGGTAAGTTTTGGGAACTGCCTGTTAACCAATAACTAAGGAACTTAAAAAAAATAAGTTAAGGGGCTGGAGAGATGGCTCGGTGGTTAAGAACACTGGTTATTTCAGAAGACCCAGGTTCGAATCCCAGCACCCACTTGGCAGCTAACAACTGTCCGTAACTCCAGTTCCAGGGGATCCGACAGCTTCTTCTGTCCTCCGTGGGCATTGCACAACACAGGTGCACTTACCTACACGCAGGCAATACACACATACACATAAAAAAATAATAAATAAAAAAAGTTAAGCACTCGTGAGGCAAAGGCAGATGGATCTCTGTGAGATCAAGGCCAGCCTGGTTTACATAGCGAGTTTCAGGCCAGCTAGGTTCCAGGGGATCCGACAGCTTCTTCTGTCCTCCGTGGGCATTGCACAACACAGGTGCACTTACCTACACGCAGGCAATACACACATACACATAAAAAAATAATAAATAAAAAAAGTTAAGCACTCGTGAGGCAAAGGCAGATGGATCTCTGTGAGATCAAGGCCAGCCTGGTCTACATAGCGAGTTTCAGGCCAGCTAGAGCTACGAAGAAGTCAATAAATGCCACCTTTTAAAATAATCCAAACAAAAATTTAAAAGTTTTGTGGTGGTTTGTAAAATAGCCTAAATCCCCAGGATCCTTGTATTTCACCAAATACAAATAAATGTTACTAGACTGAAGGATTCTGAAGACTACAGAGCATGCTCCCCATTTGAACCTCTCTTGGGCCTTTTAATACATATTCACTCGACGTTGTGCAACTTGCTTAAGAATTTCCATTCCATGAGACAAATTTGCTTGGGCACTCAGTGGAGCCAGCTTATTAGGCACAGTTGTCTTTCCTTTGGGAGGGTTGGGAATTGAACCCAAGGCGGGGACAAGCCTTGGAGTTAGCTGCACCCAATCTATGCCAACGCCTCTGAGCTGTAGTGATGGGCTTGGCTTCCTGCCTATGTTTCCCCATCTAGACAGAGTGAGAAACCACTCACTGCTAAAGCCTTTGGTGAAATGCTGTGCAGCCAGTAAGTTCCATGGACTTGGGATGTGATGGCACCTGGCCTTGACATTCCCCAACCCCACTCCTTGCTTTGTCTCAAGACATATCTGAATGTGTACTTCACACTCGGTTACTGGAAATACTACTAAAAGGAGTGATGACTACTGTAATATTAAGGAAAGATTAAAAATGTTCTCATGAAACTTAGAGTTTAATTCTATTTCATATTATGAGAACATATCATCCCTTAAAATTTATAAAATGGCCAGGCGTGGTGGCACATGCCTTTAATCCCGCAGAGGCAGGCAGATCCTTGTATATTCAAGTCCAGCCTGGTCTACATAGTGAGTTCAAGTCAGCTGGGACTATAGGGAGACCCTGTCTCAAAAAGTATATAGTGTCACCTAATACCCTGTGCTGCCATCAAATACATCTTAGCCATTCTAGTCTTTAAAATACATCGAATCCAATCAGCTCCAATTTCTTTGGACAATGTACAAGATACTTCAACACTAACTGCAATCTTGTATATTGATTTGTTACATTTCAAAATGTGGTTCTGTATCTATTTCTTATTTTATTAGGCATTCCATTCTCGTATTTCCAGCTTCCATACCCATGGATTCAGTCAACTATAGGTCAAAATATTCAGAGAAAAACTGTATCTGTACTGACAGTATACAGGTGGTTTTTCTTGTCTTTCCCTCATCAACATCTTCATACATTCACAGAGCACTGATGTGGTGTTAGGTATGTTAGTGATTTCTAGGTGATTTAAAGTACAAAGGATGATGAACACAAGTTATGCACAAATACTATACAATTTTACATAAGGGACTTGAGAATTCTTGGATTTGGACATATACAGTGGTGTCTGGAAGCAAAACTTTGTGAATAGTGAGAGACAGCTGTATCTTGAATATTTTCCAATCATTTTAAACATTAGTGCTTCATCTAAAATAGTTAATACTTCATTATAGAGATGCAGCTTTATTTACTCCCTAGTCTTAGTCAATAATTTATTATTTTTATTCCTGATAATACTTAAAACATCATTCCATATACATTTTCTATAAATGAAGACCTCTTCTAGCCTGAAGGATACTTTTGTACAATAGGTAAATATATCCCCCTACCCTGGATAGACACAGGGAGAGTCTTCTAATGAGACTTCTAATGAGGAAAGGGAACTGGCAAAGGGGGCCAAACATCACGCTGTCCTTATCCCACGCCATTGTACTCAGTTGTACCAGTTTATGTTCTCACAGGGAGAAAAAAGAAGGGCTACTAAACTGCAACCCTTTTCCCCAGTGTACCCAACAGATGATTTTCCACATTTTAGAAGACCAGTAAATGGTTCTGAAATGAGTAAAGCTAGCAATGAAAACTGACAGAATAGCTAAATAAAATTGTCCTGTAAGTTTATTATGTGGATTTATGTTACTAGAGTAATTTGAGCCTTAATTATGTAATCTATGAAATCAGTCTGAAGATGTAGCCATTTTTGAACCACATGTAATACAGCAGCATACATTTTTACAACAGTTTGGGATTCAGCACGGTATCCTAATGCTATCACTTGTTCAGAAAGCAGTTCTATGAGATTAACACATGAACTACTTTAAGATCCTCTTGATAATGATGAATCTGATCAGAGGTGTATTTCATATCCAATATAACAATTTAGGCAGTGCTAGGTCCTTGTGAAACCACCGTTTTCATCCCACATTGTAGTGCATGGCTCTTGATGGTGCCATCCAGCCTCCTAGTCACTACAATTTAAATGGTTTTGAAGTTGGAGAGAAACTAGTTTTAAGCCAATAGTAATTTGCTCTTTCCATTGAATTCGAACTGTCAAGAGACTGTTCAAGATTCAGCTCTGCCTCGTGAGCCTCCACACCTACTTAAGGCAGCATAAGTGAAGGTAAGAAAATGAAGCTGGTGTAGAGATGTGAAGACACGCCTCTAATCTCATCATCTGCTGGCATTGTACCCCTCAATGACTCATTCGGTATCACAGAGGTCCAATTTTCTTCTCCAGAGGCAGAAATGACGATAATAATTTTTACTCTGTGTCCCCTGCCTATCCTAACTGAAGTAATGTTTATGTAGCAATCTGTAAATTCTTAAGTACCATACACATAAGAATTGTCACTCTTTAATCAGCAACTGAAATATTTAACAGGGAAAATGAAAAATACTTCAGTCAATGGAGGCCACATGACAGCACAGATGAATTTCAGGTTTTATTTATGCTAAGGGGCCTTTATGTTGTTTCCCAAATCCCTTTCAAAACCAAAGCATGAAATAAAATAGAAAATGACACATGTCCATTAACAGTTAATCTCTCACCAATTTCTGAATTAAATTTACTTATCTCTGCCAAATAAGTTTCTGAAATTATCCAGTAAATCTTCCCAAAGCATAAACATTTTGAAGACCAGTGACCACATCTAAAATCTGGTCTTGAAAGATGGCTCAGCAGTAAAGAACCCTGTTGCTTTTGCACAGGTCCTGAGTTTAGTTCCCAGCACCCACGTTGGGCAACTAACAACCACCTGCTACTGCAGGCATTGGGCACCTGCACACACATGAGCATACCCATACACAGACATATACACATGATTAAGAATAAAAATAAAGCTTTAAAATAAAGTATTAAATAAACTCCTCACATGCAGTTGTTGAACTCATGTTCCTGGTCTCTAAGAACATTATTTATTGTCACTATGTAAATGACAACAAAGGATGTGTTACTTATTTCAGAACTACAAATATGAAAAATAAGAAAGGGAATATGTGTTGTAAAGAATCTTCAATTTTCTTTGAAACAAAAATACTGCTACTTGGTACCAGGGATAAAACTCATGTAGGGAGAAATTACAGTTAGAACTCTTGACCTCTTTTCTTTTAGTAGTACAAGTAATAGAGAATAATCTTCTGAGATAATTCTCTCTGTCTCTCTCCTTCTCTCCCCGCCTCAGATTCTTTACACATGATCATCCAGCTTCCTTCAGAATTCAAAGACGACAGAAATAACCTTGACTATAACAAAAGGAGATGTTTTCCACAAATGAGTTACTTTGGAGTGGGCTCAAGGGTACAGGCACTGTGTTATTCTACAGTGCCAGCTTGTTTGCTCTCCATCACATTTTAATGCTCTATTAGGTTCTGAATCTTTAAAGGTTACTGTTTAATACATTTAAGAACTTCAGGACCAATAGTGCACTTGTTGCTGGTTCCCCTGAAAATCCTCTTATGTCTTTTTAAAAGGTGAAAGAGAAACACATTTCGGGTGTGTTTACAGACGTCTGACTAGCCCGGTATTCTACTCTCTGCTCAAAGGTAATTCAGTGGTTCTGTCTCAAGCAAGTTGAATTCTGGTGCTGCTACTGCAATCACATTTGGAATTCAGTCTTGTAGACTGAGGTTTATAAACCACCACTTCATTACCTGTGATCTTGCAT